GGCCCTGGAGGATGTGAAGGACCCTGGACAGGGTTCTGACTCCGAGCAGGGCGCAGAGAGACTAGTTGGCCACCAGGTGGCACCTGAGCTTTGGATCAGTGGGGAGGAGACAAGAGAGAGAGTGATCCAGAAACCACCTGTGAGTTGTTCCGGGATGCACGCCGTCGAAGGGCTACTCGGCGTCAAGAACAACTACATAATTACAGGAGGTAATTACGCTCAGCTGATGCTCATTAAGCTCCTCTCCAGATTATAAAAGAGACTGCTTGTGCCACGCCCTCCTTGCAGAAGTCAACGTTAGGGACTAACGAGAAACAAACTTGGCAGGCTGGATTGCTGCCAGAGTTTGTTTGCGTTGCTGCCAAGGTTTGTAGGACTTGCCGCCAGAGTGCTTATCTCTTACCCTAGAGAGCCGCCAGAGTGCTTATCTCTTTGTTGATTTGGCTTTCGGCCAATGAGAGTCTGGACTTATTAAAAAACATTCTCGTTTACATTCGTCTCGGCTTTCGTTCCTGGATGGAGGAGGGGGTTCAGAACATACGGCCATTCCCCTCATCCGGATTCTTTCACACTTCCAGGGCTACGGAGTTAAGTTCTACTCCGAGGGAGAGTACTACGAGGGCGAATGGGCCTGGGGGAAGAGACACGGCTGGGGGAGGATGTACTACAAAGACGGCGCCATCTACGAAGGCCAGTGGTCCGAAGACAAGCCCGGCGGTCAAGGGATGTTCCGATGTAGTAAGTCCCCCCACCTTGGCTGTGTCGACGGCCAGATTTTAAATCGTATGCGAGAAAGACTTTGGGAGCCAAAGGAATAGTTAGATAGACTGCACAGCGACGGTCGTAAGCGTGAAACGGTTTGCCAAGCATTCGGATTTTTGGTCACCTGACCGTGGGGGCGGGGGATGCTGGAAAGGTCGTAAGTGTGAAAACCGGTCGTTAAGTCCCGTTTTTCAGTCCCATTGCAACATTGAACGGTTAAGTGGAGGACGCCTGTAATTCACGGGGTTGTGGCGAAGATAAAGAGATGGCCAGAAACACCAAGGATATTGCTGGAAAGAGGAGAAGGCTGAAGCCTCATTTTTTAAAATATCGTTTTACGTTTTAATAAATAAATGGGGATAGCAGCATCAGGAGCTTAATTGGGATTCAGAAGGGGGTCTTTTAGGGAGGGGGGGAATGGGGTTCATCCCATTGGCCCCTCAGCTCTTGGCGCCAAGTTTAATTTCTAAAAGAAAAACCCCCTTTGCCCAGTTTTATAAAATTCTGGAGTGGAGCCTTTTGCTAAAAAGTTGCCATGGTGTAGAAAAGATGTGGAGACTCTAGAAAGAGTGCAGAGAAGAGCAACAAAGATGATGAGGGGACTGGAGGCTAAAACACACGAAGAACGGTTGCAGAAACTGGGGATGTCTAGTTTAATGAAAAGAAGGACCAGGGGAGACATGATAGCAGTCTTCCAATATCCCAGGAATTGCCAT